CAATAGGTAAGCAGCTTGGTTTGAAGAAATCAACTGTGGGAGAAATTATTAGGAAATGGAAGACATACAAGACCACTGATAATCTCCCTCGATCTGGGGCTCCACGCAAGATCTCACCCCATGGGGTCAAAATGATCACAAGAACGGTGAGCAAAAATCCCAGAACCACACGGGGGGACCTAGTGAATGACCTGCAGAGAGCTGGGACCAAAGTAACAAAGCCTACCATCAGTAACACACTACGCCGCCAGGGACTCAAATCCTGCAGTGCCAGACGTGTCCCCCTGCTTAAGACAGTACATGTCCAGGCCCGTCTGAAGTTTGCTAGAGTGCATTTGGATGATCCAGAAGAGGATTGGGAGAATGTCATATGGTCAGATGAAACCAAAATAGAACTTTTTGGTAAAAACTCAACTCGTCGTGTTTGGAGGACAAAGAATGCTGAGTTGCATCCAAAGAACACCATACCTACTGTGAAGCATGGGGGTGGAAACATCATGCTTTGGGGCTGTTTTTCTGCAAAGGGACCAGGACGACTGATCCGTGTAAAGGAAAGAATGAATGGGGCCATGTATCGTGAGATTTTGAGTGAAAACCTCCTTCCATCAGCAAGGGCATTGAAGATGAAACGTGGCTGGGTCTTTCAGCATGACAATGATCCCAAACACACCGCCCGGGCAACGAAGGAGTGGCTTCGTAAGAAGCATTTCAAGGTCCTGGAGTGGCCTAGCCAGTCTCCAGATCTCAACCCCATAGAAAATCTTTGGAGGGAGTTGAAAGTCTGTGTTGCCCAGCGACAGCCCCAAAACATCACTGCTCTAGAGGAGATCTGCATGGAGGAATGGGCCAAAATACCAGCAACAGTGTGTGAAAACCTTGTGAAGACTTACAGAAAACGTTTGACCTGTGTCATTGCCAACAAAGGGTATATAACAAAGTATTGAGAAACTTTTGTTATTGACCAAATACTTATTTTCCACCATAATTTGCAAATAAATTCATAAAAAATCCTACAATGTGATTTTCTGGATTTTTTTTCCTCATTTTGTCTGTCATAGTTGACGTGTACCTATGATGAAAATTACAGGCCTCTCTCATCTTTTTAAGTGGGAGAACATGCACAATTGGTGGCTGACTAAATAATTTTTTCCCCCACTGTATCTGTTCGTAGCGATATCCCCGTGAATAATCCTCCACGCGTGTCCAGTGTTGGCCAGAACAAAATAAATCCACCAGTAACCTCTACAGTTGCTTGACGAGACTCTGTGGGGGGTCCAAATCAAATCAAATCAAATTTTATTGGTCACATGCGCCGAATACAACAGGTGCAGACATTACAGTGAAATGCTTACTTACAGCCCTTAACCAACAGTGCATTTATTTTTAACAAAAAAGTAAAAATAAAACAACAACAAAAAAAGTGTTGAGAAAAAAAAAGAGCAGAAGTAAAATAAAATAACAGTAGGGAGGCTATATATACATGGGGGTACCGGTGCAGAGTCAATGTGCGGGGGCACCGGCTAGTTGAGGTAGTTGAGGTAATATGTACATGTGGGTAGAGTTAAAGTGACTATGCATAAATAATTAACAGAGTAGCAGCAGCGTAAAAAGGATGGGGTGGGGGGGCAGTGCAAATAGTCCGGGTAGCCATGATTAGCTGTTCAGGAGTCTTATGGCTTGGGGGTAGAAGCTGTTGAGAAGTCTTTTGGACCTAGACTTGGCACTCCGGTACCGCTTGCCGTGCGGTAGCAGAAAGAACAGTCTATGACTAGGGTGGCTGGAGTCTTTGACAATTTTGAGGGCCTTCCTCCAACACCATCAGCCTGTGCCAGAGCATTGAAGCGGGCATGTTGTTAGCGACCAGGACCCTTCCCATGAAAGACATCAGTGGCAACAACCACCGCCATTTAGACAACTTAACCGCAACCTTGTCCACCAGCCCCTATCAGTTTCTGTCCTGAAACGCTGAGATCCCTAAGAACACACCTAAGAACTTCATCCCTTCTCTGTCCCACTGTAGCCCCCCAGGAAGACTAGCAGATCCTGCTCTGGCCCATCTCCCCATAATCAGACCCTAACTCTTCTCCCAGTTCACCTTAGCTTATGCCACCCCCTCAAACAACACTAAAGCCCTGCTAACCTCTTCTACATCTCCCCCCCTTTAGCAAACACTGTTACATCATCAGCATTAGCCGACAATGAAACCGACTCCCCACCTACTGCCCCTGGAACTGACCACCCCTGCAGCCTTTCCCTCAGCCTACACAGCAGTGGTTCTATGGCTAAACAGTAGAGCTGACCCGAGAGTGGACACCCCTGCCAAATCCCTCTCCTAACTGGGACTCGTCAGCTCAGCCCCACCACCCACTTTCACCATTAAAAAAAGCCCCACAGTACAATAACTTGACCCATGATCTAAACCCGTTACCCAGGCCAAACACTTCAAGTTTCACATTTCAAGCACAGTGAAATGCCCTTCTTGCAAGCTCCGAACCAAACAATGTAGTAATCATTATCAATGTAGCACAAAAAAATTTGTAAGGTAGAATAAAAACATGAGAAATAAAAATAAGAAATGAGAAGAACACGAGAAAGTAAGAAGCTATATAAAGGGTCAGAAGCTATATACAGGGTCTGTTCCAGTACCATATTTACAATATGCAGGGAGACTGGAGTGATAGAGGTAATAATATAACAATAATAAGCCATTTAGCAGACGCTTTTATCCAAAGCGACTTACAGTCATGCGTGCATAAATTTTTGTGTATGGGTGGTCCCGGGGATCGAACCCACTACCTTGGCGTTACAAGCGCCGTGCTCTACCAGCTGAGCTACAGAGGACCACAGGTAGATATGTATAGGGGTAAGGTGACTAGGCATCAGGATATATGATAAACAGATTAGCAGCAGCGTAAATGATGATTGTTTGTGAGTGTGTGTGCGTGTGTGTAGAGTCAGTATAAATGTGTGTGCATGTTATGTGTGCGTTGGAGTGTCAGTGTGTGTGAGTGTGTAGAGTCCTGTCAGTGTGCATAGAGAGTGCAAAAATAAAATACAAGTCAACTCAGATAGTCAGTGTAGCCATTCTGTTAGCTATTTAGCAGTCTTATGGCTTGTGGATAGAAGCTGTTCAGGACCTGTTAGTGTCAGACTTGATGCACCGGTACTCAGGAAGTTGAAAAGGTTCGGCATGGGCCCTCAAATTCTCAAAAAGTTTTACAGCTGCACCATTGAGAGCATCTTGACTGGCTGCATCACTGCTTTGTATGGCAACAGCACCGACCTCTATCGCATGGCGCTACAGAGGGTGGTGCGGACAGCCCAGTACATCTCTGGGGCTGAGGAAGGCCCGTAAAATAATTGTTAAAGACTCCAGCCATCGTTTTCTCTGCTTCCGCACGGCAAGCGGTACCGTTGCTCTGCTTGTTTTACAAAACACCGTCCAAGTGTTTGGCAAACAACTTCCTGAGGGGGAAGAGGCGCTGTTGCAACGACACCGGCCTCCAGTCCTTCGATAGAGCTAAGTCCCCCGTTTTCGGCAGTAGTGACAGCACTGCTCGCTGGCAGCTGACTGGTAGTACAGAGTTCTCAAAGGACTCCCGAAAGACCTCCAAGAGGTCTCTCCCCAATACACTCCAGAAACGTTTATAAAAGTCGGCTGTCAGTCCATCGATTCCCGGCGCACGGCCTGGGGAGAGCTGCTGCACAGCCGCTGTTAGTTCCTGAAACGAAAGATCACCCTCCAGCCCAGCACTCTGCTCAGGCCCAAGCTTAGGCAGCCCCTGTAGAATCTCCTGAGCACACTGTGGATCAGTGTTGCTGTCACCATAGAGGTCTGAGTAGAAGTCCATAGTCATCTCTGCTGGATCCAGCGTGTGAGACCCTGAAGGACGCCGCAGATGGAACATCTGCTTCTGCTACGCCGACTTCCTCTCCAGGTTGAAGAAGAACGCACTCGGAGCATCCATGTCGGTCAAGGTAGCCATCCATTCTCTAGTGAGCGCACCGTTCACCTGATCCTGTAAAAAATACCCCAGCTGTGTCCACTTAGCCCTCAACTCCCTCTCTGACCCTGAGTCCTGCTGCTCAATAAGGCTATTCTCAATGTCTCTAACATCTTGCTCCAACCTCTGAATAGTAGACCTTATCCTAGCTGTCCCATGGGCAGAGTCCTGCTGACAAAACAGCCTTATTTGTGTTTTCCCACCTCCCACCATTGTCTTACATTCTCAAACTCAGCTTTCCTCCCTTTCCAACTCTCCCAAAAAACCCAGAACCCTTCACAAAAAGGCTATAATTTAAATTTTAGTAATTTAGCAGACGCTCTTATCCAGAGCGACTTACAGTTAGTGAATACATATTTTTTTTTTATACTGGCCCCCCCGTGGGAAACAAACCCACAACCCTGCCGTTGCAAACGCCATGCTCTATCAACTGAGCTACATCCCTGCCGGCCATTCCCTCCCCTACCCTGGACGACACTGGGCCAATTGTGCGCCGCCCATGAGTCTCCCGGTCACAGCCGGCTGCGACAGAGCCTGGATTCGAACCAGGATCTCTAGTGGCACAGTTAGCACTGCGATGCAGTGCCTTAGACCACTGCGCCACTCAGGAGTACAGCATTTAGCTGGATTAGCACTAAAGACCTCAGACGAGGCACAACTGACAAGCTATACTCAACTGTTACATTGTGATGGTCTGAGAAGCCAGATCTGGGAGCCCAGTAAGCTCCCCTTACTGGCATAGATCCTATCTAGCCTTGCTGCACTAATCCTCCCCTCCACTACCTTTACCCATGTATAGCTCTTCCCTCCCTGATTTCTGTCCCTCCCCACATCTACTAGTCCATGCTGTTTCAACATGTTGGTTAAGACCACCCCCGACTGTGGATGAGCTTCCTCCCAGTTCCTATCTAGTGTGTAATCTGTTGTACAGTTCCAGTCAACCTGACTGGGATGCTACACCTACATTGATGGGGATATCGATCTCTTCCTCCATCCTCATCGGGCAGCTCCACGGAATCCGGAGCCCCCCCCCCCCACTGCCTCCAACCTTCTCCCCACCATCCCCTGCGTGTCTGTAATTACACTGGGCACATCATTCTCCATTGTCTGTGAGACAGGTATATCAGCCTCGGAGTCAACGTTGTCACTGCCCTCAGTAACCACAAGCAGACCCGCCCCTGAGAGTCTCGTCATGGCAACATGGGCTACATCAACATTTTAACCTCATCAATATCAACAGTTTGGGAAATGGAATCTTGCAATTCCAATGTATGGGGTTGAGTCTGGACCAGGGATGGAGGCCGGTGCTGCACCGAACCCTCCGGCCCGCTCTCAGATCTGGAGCTAGATGAGGATCCATCAGTGCCCTGCTCGCCCCGCTCCCTGTGCGTGCATGCCTGCCACTTATGTCCAATCTCCCCACAATCAAAACACCTCAGACTGTTGTCACATAAACCATGTAGGCTTTCCCTCATACCTCACCAGATACCAAATGTCTAAAGTTTTTGTCTGACTAAAAACAGGAAAACCTGCCTTCTACAAGCAGTAACATGTTTCAACAGGTTTTTTTTACATCCAAGTAATGACTCTCATTGGGCTGGCAAATGTAACGTGCGAGCTCTCGCATCAGGTCGCCATCGGGAATGAACAGACATGGGATATAGTAACCCTCGTAGCCGAGGAGAAAAGCATGATTTGCAAAAAAACATCATTTTGAGTAACACCTGTCTCAACCAGCCGGTTGACAAGGCGCTCCTCTTTCAGAAACACAGCCACTGCTTTAGTCATTCGCAAAGCATTTGAAAGACTTTCATGGCCAACCTGTTCTCCCACAGAGAGGAGAACATCCTCCACCTTCACATTCAGCTCAGGCATACACCTGAAACCGTGGCGGACAGACAAGGACGGCTTCTCAACGTGAGACGCCATCCCCAGTCCCACCAAACAAGTCACCCAAGCGACTAACTCACCCGACAATGTAGGCTATGTAACCACTAAAATAAATAACGTAGCCCTTTCCTGCAGTCAATGACCAAAAGCACCCCCTCTGGCCTCATGGGTGGAATGTTATTCATATTATACAGCGACCACTCGTGCCATTGTCATCCTATGGGGGCATAGCCATGTTAGCCAAAATAATGGCCTGCCCAGCATTTTTATACATGACCCTAAGCAAGATGGGATGTTAATTGCTTAATTAACTCAGGAACCACACCTGTGTGGAAGCACGTGCTTTCCATATACTTTGTGTCCCTCATTTATTCAAATGTTTCCATTATTTTGGCAGTTACCTGTACTTCTTCCTACTGTGACACACTAGCTGTTCACAGGTTCTTTAAAACGGCAGCAGCAATAAAACCACACGTTGGTTTTTGACCTCTCTAATTTCCACACAGTCACTCTGGCTGAAAGCAATGTGGGCCAGCAAACTCTGTGTGTGTGTGTGTGTGTGTGTGTGTGTGTGTGTGTATGTGTGTGCGCGGCATGTGTTCAGGTTGATGATTATGTGTGTTTGAAGTAGAACATGGGGGCCTGGAAGATATTGTGGAGCCTCTGGAGACAATTACAACACAACTGAGCTCATTAAATCATGTGGAAACCCTCAACCCTCTCTCTCTGCTAGCTAGCTGGCACATACAAACACACACACACACACTCACACTCACACACACACACACACACACATGCACACTCACAAACACGCACACGCACACAAAATCACAAACCCAAGCACGCGCACACACTCACACACCCTGTCATATAGCACAGCGCTAGTTAAGGCTCTCCAGGGTCTGTACTTCCACAAGACTTAATGAGATCAATGTGAGAAAACTACACAGCAAGGACAGAGAGGACAGTGTTGTTAATAAAGCCAGTTTACAGCCTAGTCAGCCTGTTAAAGGCCATGTTATTAATAAAGCCAGTTTACAGCCTAGTCAGCCTGTTAAAGGCCATGTTATTAATAAAGCCAGTTTACAGCCTAGTCAGCCTGTTAAAGGCCATGTTATTAATAAAGCCAGTTTACAGCCTAGTCAGCCTGTTAAAGGCCATGTTATTAATAAAGCCAGTTTACAGCCTAGTCAGCCTGTTAAAGGCCATGTTATTAATAAAGCCAGTTTACAGCCTAGTCAGCCTGTTAAAGGCCATGTTATTAATAAAGCCAGTTTACAGCCTAGTCAGCCTGTTAAAGGCCATGTTATTTCCATGGGATTCCCAGTCCATTAAGTGTGTTCTCTATACTGTATTGAAGGGACATTGAGATACACTGAGTGTACAAAACATTAAGGACACTTGCTCTTTCCATGACATAGACTGACCAGGTAAATCCAGGTGAAAGCTATGATCCCTTATTGATGTCACTTGTTAAATCCACTTCAATCAGTGTAGATGAAGGAGAGGAGACAGGTTAAAGAAGGATTTTTAAACCTTGAGACAATTGAGACATGGATTGTGTAGCTATGTGTGCCATTCAGAGGGACAAAATATTTAATTGCCTTTGAACGGGGTATGGTAGTGTCAAGAACTGCAATGCTGCTGGGTTTTCCACCCTCATCAGTTTCCCGTCTGTATCAAGAATGGTCCACCACCCAAAGGACATCCAGCCAACTTGACACAACTGTGCAACTCAATATTAGAAAGGCGTTCCTAATGTTTGATATACTCAGTACAGATGGGCTAAGGGAGGGGATGTTGTGTTAGTTAGATAGTTGTGGCTCTGCCTCTGCATGTGGTAGTAATGGGATTCCGTTTCCAATATTCTTTGGGCCAGAGCGGGGCGTTTTGTAAGCAATGTACTGTAATTCAAGCCAGACCTTTTCTCAAATGTCAGTGACGCTCCCCAGAACAATAGCGGAATACACAGAGCAGAGGTTCACAATCAAAGGGCACCCTGTTGTGTATTCTCCCTACTGAAATTCATATGAGCTATGTGTGGTAGGGGACAACTCTATCTTCTATCTTCTAACTCTATCTTTTAAAAAACAAAACACAGGAAGAAGAAGAGAAGGAGAGGGGGAAGAAACTAACTGCATATTTAATCTGTTCTTGGACGTCGGCCAACAATGTAATTTGGCCGTGCTCCACTACATGTGTTCCACCTCTAGCCATCGCAATCAATAGCCATCACAGACACGTGGAGGCCCCTGGCCTATCAGAGTCAATGAACAGAGACAGACTATGAGCTCTCTGTGCCAAGACAGGAGACAGCTCAGTATCATGGAGATAAAGCTATTGGACCTAGGCCAGAGGAGTGATCTCATGGTAAACAACGCCTGAACATGTTTTAGTGACTATCAACATGGGATGAGAATATTAGGAATAGAATAGAATCAGCTTGACATGAATGATATAAATACAGTACTGTAGCGTGCAATTATGTGTGACTGGGAATATCAAATTGAAAGTGGAACATATCTAATCAAGCAAATTAATCAAGCTAACCAAACCATATTATTAGAATATCAGGATATCCCAAGAATATTATGACTTTGAAGTTTATACGTCTTAGATATAAGACTTTATACTACTTAGAAACCCCCTGGCACGTCTTATACTGTAGCTACTAAGACATACAGTACTTCTGACACATATCCTACCTTGTTGTTTGCTGGCAGCAGCCTTCTGTCCAGGGGAGTAGAATGCAGACAGGGCACTGAGGGAGCTGACCAGCTGGCTCTGGATGGAGCTCATCTTAGACGGCCCTGACTTCCCTGCTGATTTGCCCGTTGAAGGCTTCCCCGCGGCGGGCTTCCCCTGCCCGGGTGCAGGCTTCTGGGTGCTGGGGCTGGGGGTCTCCTGCTTGTCCGGCTTCTCTTGGCTGCTACCCAGCTGGGCCCACTGCTCATTAATCAGCCCTGTGAGGCGTGTTACTACCTGCCCTAAGGCTGGGTTGGAGCCCCGACGAGGGTCCTGGGCCTGGGCCTGAGGCTGGGCCTGGGGCTGGGCCTGGGGCTGGGCCTGGGGCTGGGGCTGGGCCTGGGCCTGGGCCTGGGGCTGGGCCTGGGGCTGGGGCTGGGGCTGGGCCTGGGGCTGGGCCTGGGGCTGCACAGACTCCTTCTGACCCGGTTGAGGCTGGGTCTGGCTGGAAGAGGGGGTGGGTGCTGCAACTGGGCTCTCTGGGGCTACTGGGGCTACTGGAGTTTCTGTGACCACACTCTCTTCTGTGACAGCACTCTCTTCTGTGACCACACTCTCTATGACTGTACTTTCTGTGGTTGTACTCTGTTTAAGCACACTTCCAGTCACTGTCATTTGTTCAACTACAGTCTCTACTACCACTTCTTGTCTCTTTGTTACCATACCTTCTGTGTCCACATTCTCTGTGACCATACTTTCTGTGACCATCCTTTCTGTGACCATACTTTCTGTGACCATACTTTCTATGTCCACACATTCTATAATCACAAAACCTTCTTCAGTTACTGCACTCTCAGTGATATCCCCATTTTTGACAGCACTTTCTGTGGACTCAATTTCTGCTCCAGAAATTTCTGTGACCGCACTTTTTATGGCTGCACTTACTATAGCCGCACTCTCAATCTCTATAGCGCTATGTGAGGTATTGCTAGTCTCACCTCTGTCTCTCTCTGTCTCTGTTTGCTGGTCTGCACTCTGCGCTGCCTCTGTCTCTGTCACCTGGTCCACTGTACCCACTCTCTCTGTCTCTGTCCCCTGGTCCACACTGTTAGCCCTGTGTCTCGCTGGTCTCACTGGACGTACAGGTGCTGTCTGTGTCTCTGTCTCTGTCACCTGGTTCACAGTATCCACTGTCTCCGTCCCCTGGTCTACACTGACTCCTGCCTGTATTTGTGGCTCTGTCCCCTGGTCCACACTGTTAGCCCTGTGTCTTGCTGGTCTCACTGGACGTACATGTGTTGTCTCTGTCATCTGGTCCACACTGACTACTGTCTGTGTCTCTGTCTCTGTCACCTGGTCTAATCTGTCTCCAGGCAGTGTCTCTGTCACCTGGTTTACAGTGTCCACTCTCTCTGTCTCTGTCCCCTGGTCCACACTGTTAGCCCTTGGTCTGACTGGACATACAATAACCATCTCTGTCTCGGCCACCTGGTCCACCGCTTCTACTCTCTCCGTCTCTGTCCCCTGGTCCACACTGTTAGCTCTCTCTCTGATTAAACTTATTACTATCCTCTCTGTATCAGTCCCCTGCTCCACCATATCAGCCCTCTCTGTCTCTGTCTCCTGGTTTATAATGACCACTCTCTCTGTCTCTGTCCCCTGGTTTATAATATCCACTCTCTCTGTCTCTGTCCCCTGGTCCACACTGGTCCTTCTACTTGTCTGTCTCTCCCCACACACCTCCTTTCCTTCTCTCCCTCCCTCGCTTAGCTGAAGTATCCTCTCCTCCTTCATCCTGTTTTCCTCTACCTGTTGTCTGAGGAGACTGTTGGTTTTCTCCAGATGTTCACTAGCCTGACTTAACTTAGCCTCTAGCGCTACTAGCTTAGCCTGGAGTTGTTCGATGCTGAGGAGGTCCCCCTCACCACTGACACTGACTCCCTCTATGACTTGCACAAACACTCCTCTCTCTGAAGGTTCTGGTGCTTTCTGTACTGTAACGTCCTCTGATAGCTCCGCTGTTTGCTCTAATGGATTCACTACTGCTTCTCTTTGTCTGTCTGGTCCCTCTGATGCCTGTGCTGCTAAAAGCCTATCTGCTTCTCCTTCTTGTACAATACTTTTTAAGGATTCCTGTTGTGTTTCTGTCTCTGACGCAGTGCTCTCTGCTCTCCCGGGATCCACTACTGCTCCAGCCCCCGGCGGCTGAGAGGCGGGCCCAGGATCAGTGCTCTGGGCTGGGGAGGGCGAGGCGCGTTGTGGGGGGGGTGGAGGCTGGGGCTTGGTTTGGGCCTGCAGCCTGAGGATCAGTTGCTCCCTCTCCTCCCTCAGTGAGCAGATCTGGGACTTGAGCTCTGGGATGGTCCTCACCATATCCTCCAGCTCTCTGACCCTCTTCAGGGCTGCGGTGATCTGCTGGTGCAGCCCCGACCGGTCCTGGGGCACAGCGCGGAACACGTTCTCAGATGAGCCGCTCTCCGTTCTCTCGTCCCCGGACTCGGAGCCCTTCCTGTGTGGGATGGTAACGGGCATGCTGGACGTCCGGAGGAGGTTGGGCCTCCCCAGGGGCTTCTCGGCTAACACCCCTGCCTCCTCCCTGGGCCTGGCCGGGGATAAGCTACCCCCCTGCGCCCTGCTGCTCTGGCTCTGACCCCCCGCCGTACCACTGCCTCCATCACTGGCTCTAAAATCCAAGAACTGCTGGACCTCTGTGACTCTGCCCCGGGGCTTGGGTCCCAGAGTAGAGGTGGAAGACCAGGTGTCCTTGGGGGCCGGTCGTGCCCCATGCCCAGGCAGGCTGAAGTTCCTGGGCAGGGTGCTGAACTTAGGAGGACCCCTGGCCTTGCGCTGGATGTGCACCCGCTTGATGGTGTTGCCTTTCTCGATGTCGTCCACATATTTGAGGAAGTCGAGGTCCAGGTGGAAGCCGTAGGGGGTCTCTACGGAGTAGGGCAGCTGCTTCCTCTGACCCCCACCTCCACTCTCTCCTCCGGCCTTAGGGTAGCCATTGGCTAAAACATGAAGAGAGGTTTTTAGTATTCACACTGATCCCAATGCATTCAGGGATATGCTATACAGTACTCTCTGACCTTAGAAGAGAAAGCAAAACATGAAGCACATCCCAGTATCCCATTAGTTTATAATACACTACAACCTATGTATCTATTTATGACCAGTATTTGATAGGGTTGATTGGGACAGTGCACGTTAATCAACATTTCAGTAAAAGTGCCTATTGTTTCTCTACCACCGTGGTTCTGCCAGAGCTGTCAGTTATTGCATTTCTTTCAGTTTTAGCATTACACTGTTGCTACTTCGCTCTTCAACCAAGGACCAACTGAAGAGAGGAGGATAAGGATATTCAGCCACACTTGGAGGACAATAGAAGTTGCTTTAGGAAATGCTAATTTATTATTAAAACCAGTAACTAATGCGTTTCAGCTCGTTGCCTTCATCAGCTCGTTGCCTTCATCAGCTCGTTGCCTTCATCAATCCCCCCCCATACAGATGAAGCCAGGGACAGGATGTACGCTACAGTACTGTGCATATGGTGTTTATTTATGTACATGTAAACCCTATCAGAGTCTGGGATGTAATTATCTTTCCCGTGATTGGGATGAAACACATTTACACTCATTAGAATGCAAAACTCAACTCAGCTTAGCTATGCTGTGTCAACGTATGCATAATGAGACAGACAGACAGCAATAATATTAGGGAGAGGAAACTCTTGCTCGCTACCCTTCCTCTTGGCCCTGACCCTTCAATGTTTGCAGCTCTGTAAGGTGGAAGCCAATGGAGGCTGCTGAGGGGAGGACGGCTCACAATAATGTCTGGAACGGAGCAAATGGAATGGCATGTTGTATTTGATACCATTCCACTAATTCCGCTCCAGCCATTACCACGAGCCCATCCTCCTGTGCTGGAAGCTTTACCACTACACTGCTTTCTTATCCAGACCCTTCAGACATGCTAACACACAGGGGTTAGGGTAGAAGGGGAGGGATTTGGGAACGACTGTGTGACTTTTTACTTACCACTTTTCCTGTCCATCGCTGTATTAGTTCAGGGTCATGGACTAACTTCTCTGCTGTCAGAGTTGGCGACCTGGAAAAGAGAATGGAAGTCTGTGAGCAACTGAAATAACACGGAATATCAAAACTGGCCAACTGTTTGTAATACAACCTCTGTTTTGTTTTAAATAAGATCTCATATTTGTTTTTGAGATAAGAAGAGTGTATGTGAAATGACTTGTGTTGTAGCAGCGACCCGTGATAGTCTGTTTGTTGCTAATGAGAGAAACATCCTGTCCACAACCTCTCCCCTGTGTCATTGTCTAAAAGAGAGAGAGAGACCCTCGGTGGCCATTAAAAATCACCACAACACTGACAAGGGCTACAGTTTCATCCAACTAAGTAGGAAAATGTTCCATCTGGGTGCCATTTTGTGTTGTTTGTTCCAGTTGGAGCTGCCAAGAAACCGGAGCCCGTGGCTTTTTACGAGGGGCCTTGCATGAGGTAATTGTATGGAAAAAAACGAATCAATCAAATAACAAAAGTCACATTCTTCGTAAACAACAAGTGTAGACTAATGGTGAAATGCTTACTTACAGACCCTTCCCAACAATGCAGAGAGCAAAATAGAAAAATTATAGAACATAATAACACAACTAAAATAATAAAAACAACTCTGAGATTTGAGTCAAAACTTTCAGAGGTTTATGCTTTTAAATGTAATATCCAATACTACTAATAATACACAGTAAAGGCAAGGATGTTCCCACAGCCTTCCCATGCTTTTCAGATTGAACCCATTTAAAATAGCATACCCTTAGGCCTACAGCAAAATATAAATGCCAAAACAATTGAGCAAATAAGCACACAATTTCCATGCAAATTTGTGCCGGTGAAAAAATACCTGCTACTCAGGAGGACACGGTCCCTCTCAAAGCCTGGAGCATTGTTTTAATGAGAGTTAAAGTGGTAAACTTGAACCCGGCAGGCGGGAGTTAATTCCAGTGCAATAAAACTACTTTATGAGTATTATAAGACGATGCTATGCTATGCTACTTGTATCAATCCTTATGATTGCTTTCTCATTTTAAATGTGGTTTATCATCAACATGGAAACCTTGAGCACCTTTTCCTTATTCCCTACCATCACAAATCCCTTAATAATTCACAAAGAACAAAACACTTTTAAAGCCTAAGGCAAAGATCAAATTGCATGTGGCAATCTCTACTCATTCTGCTTTGATGACTTTGGGGAGAACAGAGGAAGCATCTTTCTGCCCGGCAACAAATGTCCTGTCTCTGTGAGAAATACACACTGAGACGGTGGTGCTGGGGAAAGACTCTGTGCTTAGAGTAGAGGTGGGCTGTTTACCATCAGAGTACAGCACAGGAATACACTACAATACACAGGCACCGCATTGGACGGAAGGCCATCAATCAAAATGACAGCCAATCCACACAGGAACCTGATCTTGTATCCATAACGACCTCTAGCTGGACCACCTCCATAAATAAACCCCAAACAGTGACAGCAAAGCAATAAATACGTGTCTCTGTTCACTACTGTTTCTATCCTTTACCAGTCATATCTCTATCCCCCAGCCCTTTACCAGTCATATCTCTATCCCCAGCCCTTTACAAGTCATATCTCTATCCCCCAGCCCTTTACCAGTCATATCTCTATCCCCCAACCCTTTACCAGTCATATCTCTATCCCCCAGCCCTTTACCAGTCATATCTCTATCCCCAGCCCTTTACCAGTCATATCTCTATCCCCCAGCCCTTTACCAGTCATATCTCTATCCCCAGCCTTTACCAGTCATATCTCTATCCCCCAGCCCTTTACCAGTCATATCTCTATCCCCCAGCCCTTACCAGTCATATCTCTATCCCCAGCCCTTTACCAGTCATATCTCTATCCCCAGCCCTTTACCAGTCATATCACTATCCCCTGCCCTTTACCAGTCATATCTCTATCCCCAGACCTTTACCAGTCATATCTCTATCCCCAGCCCTTTACCAGTCATATCTCTATCCCCAGCCCTTTACCAGTCATATCTCTATCCCAGCCCTTACCAGTCTATATCTCTATCCCCAGCCCTTTACCAGTCATATCTCTATCCCCAGCCCTTTACCAGTCATATCTCTATCCCCAGCCCTTTACCAGTCATATCTCTATCCCCAGCCCTTTACCAGTCAATATCTATCCCCAGCCCTTTACCAGTCATATCTCTATCCCCCAGCCCTTTACCAGTCATATCTCTATCCCCAGCCCTTTACCAGTCATATCTCTATCCCCAGCCCTTTACCAGTCATATCTCTATCCCCCAGCCCTTTACCAGTCATATCTCTATCCCCCAGCCCTTTACCAGTCATATCTCTATCCCCCCAGCCCTTTACCAGTCATATCTCTATCCCCCAGCCCTTTACCAGTCATATCTCTATCCCCAGCCCTTTACCAGTCATATCACTATCCCCTGCCCTTTACCAGTCATATCTCTATCCCCAGCCCTTTACCAGTCATATCTCTATCCCCAGCCCTTTACCAGTCATATCTCTATCCCCAGCCCTTTACCAGTCATATCTCTATCCCCAGCCCTTTACCAGTCATATCTCTATCCCCAGCCCTTTACCAGTCATATCTCTATCCCCAGCCCTTTACCAGTCATATCTCTATCCCCAGCCCTTTACCAGTCATATCTCTATCCCCAGCCCTTTACCAGTCATATCTCTATCCCCAGCCCTTTACCAGTCATATCTCTATCCCCAGCCCATTTACCAGTCATATCTCTATCCCCCAGCCCTTTACCAGTCATATCTCTATACCCCCCCCCCCCACCCAGCCCTTTACCAGTCATATCTCTATCCCCTGCCCTTTACCAGTCATATCTCTATCCCCAGCCCCTTTACCAGTCATATCTCTATCCCCCAGCCCTTTACCAGTCATATCTCTATCCCCAAGCCCTTTACCAGTCATATCTCTATCCCCAGCCCTTTACCAGTCATATCTCTATCCCCCAGCCCTTTCCCAGTCATATCTCTATCCCCAGCCCTTTCCCAGTCATATCTCTATCCCCAGCCCTTTACCAGTCATATCTCTATCCCCAGCCCTTTACCAGTCATATCTCTATCCCCAGCCCTTTACCAGTCATATCTCTATCCCCCAGCCCTTTCCCAGTCATATCTCTATCCCCTTTACCAGTCATATCTCTATCCCCCAGCCCTTTACCAGTCATATCTCTATCCCCCAGCCCCTTTACCAGTCATATCTCTATCCCCCAGCCCTTTACCAGTCATATCTCTAATCCCCAGCCCTTTACCAGTCATATCTCTATCCCCCAGCCCTTTTCCCAGTCAATATCTCTATCCCCAGCCCTTTCCCAGTCATATCTCTATCCCCAGCCCTTTACCAGTCATATCTCTATCCCCTGCCCTTTTACCAGTCATATCTCTAACCCCAGCCCTTTACCAGTCATATCTCTATCCCCAGCCCTTTACCAGTCATATCTCTATCCCCAAGCCCTTTACCAGTCATATCTCTATCCCCAGCCCTTTACCAGTCATATCTCTATCCCCAGCCCTTACCAGTCATAGTCTCTATCCCAGCCCTTTACCAGTCATACTCTCTATCCCCAGCCCTTTACCAGTCATATCTCTATCGCCAGCCCTTTACCAGTCATATTTCTATCCCCCAGCCCTTTACCAGTCATATCTCTATCCCCAGGCCTTTACCAGTCATATCTCTATCCCCAGCCCTTTACCAGTCATATCTCTATCCCCAGCCCTTTACCAGTCATATCTCTATCCCCCAGCCCTTTACCAGTCATATCTCTATCCCCCAGCCCTTTCCCAGTCATATCTCTATCCCCCAGCCCTTTACCAGTCATATCTCTATCCCCAGCCCTTTACCAGTCATATCTCTATCCCCAGCCCTTTACCAGTCATATCTCTATCCCCCAGCCCTTTCCCAGTCATATTCTCTATCCCCAGCCCTTTACCAGTCATATCTCTATCCCCAGCCCTTTACCAGTCATATCTCTATCCCCCAGCCCTTTACCAGTCATATCTCTATCCCCAGCCCTTTACCAGTCATATCTCTATCCCCAGCCCTTTACCAGTCATATCTCTATCCCCAGCCCTTTACCAGTCATATCTCTATCCCCAGCCCTTTACCAGTCATATCTTAATTCCCCAGCCCTTTACCAGTCATATCTCTATCCCCAGCCCTTTACCAGTCATATCTCTATCCCCAGCCCTTTACCAGTCATATCTCTATCCCCCAGCCCTTTACCAGTCATATCTCTATCCCCAGCCCTTTACCAGTCATATCTCTACCCCCCAGCCCTTTACCAGTCATATCTATATCCCCCAGCCCTTTACCAGTCATATCTCTATCCCCAGCCCTTTACCAGTCATATCTCTATCCCCCAGCCCTTTACCAGTCATACTATATCCCCCCAGCCCTTACCAGTCATATCTCTAATCCCCAGCCCTTTACCAGTCATATCTCTATCCCCAGCCCTTTACCAGTCATATCTCTATCCCCCAGCCCTTTACCAGTCATATCTCTATCCCCAGCCCTTTACCAGTCATATCTCTATCCCCCAAGCCCTTACCAGTCATATCTCTATCCCCAGCCCTTTACCAGTCATATCTCTATCCCCAGCCCTTTACCAGTCATATCTCTATCCCCAGCCCTTTACCAGTCATATCTCTATCCCCAGCCCTTTACCAGCATATCTCTATCCCCAGCCTTTACCAGTCATATCTCTATCCCCAGCCCTTTACCAGTTCATATCTCTATCCCCAGCCCCTTTACCAGTCATATCTCTATCCCCAGCCTTTACCAGTCATATCTCTATCCCCAGCCCTTTACCAGTCATATCTCTATCCCCAGCCCTTTACCAGTCATATCTCTATCCCCCAGCCCTTACCAGTCATATCTCTATCCCCCAGCCCTTTACCAGTCATATCTCTATCCCCAGCCCTTTACCAGTCATATTTCTATCCCCAGCCCTTTACCAGTCATATCTATATCCC